CCTGCCAATAACGGTGACAACTACAACCAAAAAATAGCTGGGCATTGTGGCAAGCGCCTGTAGTCCCAGCTACTTAGGAGGCTGAGGCAAAAGAATCACTTACGCCCAAGAGTTGGAGGTTGCTGTGAGCTATGACGCCACAGCACTCTGCCCAGGGGGACAACTTGAGACTATATCTCAAAAAAAAAGAAAAGAAAAGAAAAATAGGGCAGTGCCCGTGGCTCACTGGGTAGGGTGGCGGGTTCAAACCTGGGCCCAGCCAAACTGCAATAAAAAAATAGCCGGACGTTATGGCAGGCACCTATAGTCCCAGCTAAGCTACTGGGGAGGCTGAGGCAAAGACGAGAGAATAGCCTAAGCCCAGGAGTTGGAGGTAGCTGTGAGCTGTGTGATGCCATGGCACTCTACTGAGGGTGATAAAGTGAGATTCTACAAAAGAGTCTCAAAAAAAAGACTGTCGCTACAAAAGAAAGAAAGAAAAATAATATACTGTGTGTTCAGTTTAACCAAATTTTATGAAATACATACCCACATAACTATCACTCAGTCAAGAAAGTATGGTATCCTTTCCAAAAATTCATTTGGGACTTTTTTGGTAAGACTATTGCATCTAGAAATGTCTTTTAAGAATTAAATTTAGGGCTTGGCGCCTGTATCTCAGTGGTTAGCGCCCTGGCCACATACACTGGGGCTAGCAGATTCAAACCTGGCTCGGGACTGCCAAGCAACACTGACAACTACAAGAACAAAAAAATAGCCAGACGTTGTGGCAGGTGTCTGTAGTCCCAGGCTGAGGCAAGAAAATCCCTTAAGCCCAAGAGTTTGAGGTTGCTATGAGCTGTGACGCCACGATCTCTACCAAGGGCAACATAGTAAGACTCCATCTCAGAAAAAAAAAAAATTAAAATTGGAAAATGGCTTTGACAAATTTAAGGACTATGGTTTAAAACATTTTTAAAAAATGGTCACAACATGAAAAGAATGCTGATTGATAACCTTTATTTAACCAGGTTCTCAAACCATTGGATGTGAAAACCAAATTTTACAATGCAGAGGTAAGTATTGAGCACTTAATGGGATTTCAAATTAAACATTAAAATCTTACTTGACTAAAAATCTGATGTATTATATTCCTTATTATATTGAAGTAAATTGCTGGTATGACTGAATTATTTGTGGAAAAATGAGCAAACATGTCAATTAAAAGTAAAAAATTTCACTGCAGGTCCTTTTAATCTGCCTTTTTCAACCTACATGGAATCAGTGATTCTTATTTTTTAATTTGATTTTTTACCTTGATTTTTATTCTCATTAATAAATTTGTCAAGTTTTCAGCCCCTTTCATTAAATGATTTCCTTATATTTCCAATTAATGGTGGTGGTTATTGTTTAACACTAGCAATTTGTTGAATACTCCCAGTGTGGTTCTGGCTATTACAAAAGCCAGAAATAGACTTGAAATAGATTAAATATTAACATGGAAAAATATTCACAAGAAAAGCACACAGTACATTAAATTAGTTCCTGGAAAGTCAGTGGGTCAGCCAGAGTTAGGTTGCTGAGTTTGATAAAATGGCTTGAAAATCTCCTTGGGAGAGAGAAGTTTGGCAAAAAGAAAGAAAGAAGTAACTTTTAGAATAGAAGATAATCTATCTGCTATCCTAACAAGATAAAATAAAATCAGATCTCTCAGATAGTCCCTCTAACCACTAAAAATTGTTTCCTACCTCAGTGATGAATTCAAAGATACCCACATACAATATTTTGAAATGCGAATTATATCTCTATTACTGTAAAACCTGATGATCAGAAAATTGCAATGAGGTAACAAACTTGATATGTATCTGATTTTACTATCAGCGATCTGAATTTGTACTCAGTAAAAAGTTTGTATGACAACTAGGATTTTTAAGATGTCAAAGTTAAGGAACCTGACCAGCAAAAACCTATTAAGAGTAAAGAAAAAAAATGCATATAATAACAAAACTACCCAGAATTGTATATAGTGAGTCTGAAACAAGAATAATATAAAAAGATGTGCCACATACAGGAGGTCTGGGCATGAGAACTTAAATAAGGTGACCAGACATCCTGCTTTTGCCAGGACAGTCCCGATTTCTAACAATTGGTCCTGTGTCCCGCAGCATTTTTAAAAAGTCCCAGTTTTTGGAAAGAATGCAGGACAAGCTAGGGAACAGTGGGACAAAGGGAAGGGAATATACCTGCTGAAAAGGTTAATGTAACTCCATTTGGGAATGAAGAGGTTAATGTAACTTCATTTGGTAATGAAAAGGCTAATGTAAACTCCCTACTCCCCTCCTGGGCAAGGTCACCCAGGTGGAAGGCAGCCTACTCCTTTGAGCCACAGGCGCAGCCCTATACATAATTTTTTTTAATGTATTATATTTGTAAATTGTACTTATGCTGAAATTAAAAATATATATATTACAATACTATTTTTGCATTCTATGAAATTTTTTGTTGCTCCATATAGACCAAATTTTTAATGAAGAACTCGCCCCCCATCAATGGTGTCCTGCTTTACCAATGTTAAAATCTGGTCACCGTAATCTTAAAGTAGTTCAAAGAAGCTTGATGGGAGAGAAGAAGGGGAACTAGAGTAGAATCTGGAAGGAATGTGTGTCAACACTGAAGGCATTGCAAGCAGGGCTCTAAATGTACTTGGAGTACAGAGTGAAAAGCATTTGATGGGAGGGTACAGCCTCATCAAGGAAATTGCCATGTTTTAAAGAGTTGACATTTCTTTTGGGGGGATAGGTGAGCTGGCATACTGTATATTTATTCTCTTTTCAGTTTTTTAATTTATTCCATACTGAGTAATTATAGCTATTCAGCTTCGTGAATTATAGTCTCATTTATCATTTTGCTTGAAAACAGCTTTCATTTATAGTATGAGGAAACTATTAACTATTCTGCTAGAATAAATATATTAGAAAATTAAAAACAAATAGGACTGTAGGTAGATATTTCTGTTGTAATTGACTTTTAGACACAAATTAAGATAGTTTAGGTTTTCTTATTTTAAAATGTGGTAGTATATTAAGATATTTGTCAAGTAGTTTTATAATACTAATATTTAGAGTCATTTGAAAATAATTTTTTAAATTGCCAGTTATTCCATAAATGTTATAGAAGTGACTGACATGTTACCTTTAAAGAAAAAAACCCACAATTCCACCACACTAATAAGGAATTGATTTTTTATTAATCCGTCTTTTCTTATAGTCTTCATGCATTTATATTCTGCTTTTATAATCATGACAATTTTGTTTGCAGCCTTTCTTAATGCAGTTAACATAGTTAAATATATTCTTTAAATTTTGCTAACAGACTTCAGTCAAAAAATTTTAGTTAAAATCTGAACTTTTGAAAATAGATATCCCTTGGGGCCAGGTGCAATGGCTCACACCTGTAATCCCAGCACTTGGGAAGCTGAGGCGGGTGGATTGCCTGAGCTCACAGGTTTGAGATCAGCCTGAGCAAGAGGGAGACCCAGTCTCTAAAAAATAGCCAGGTGTTGTGGTGGGTGCCTATAGTCCCAGCTACTTGGGAGACTGAGACAAGAGAATCATTTAAGCCCAAGAGTTTGAGATTGCTGTGAGCTATGACGCCACAGCACTTTACCAAGGGTGACAAAGTGAGACTCTGTCTCCAAAAAAAAAAAAAAAAGGTAAAAAAAAGTAAATAGATACCTCTTTAAATACATGGCTTTTTTTTTTTTTTTTTTGCAGTCTGTGGCCAGGGCCGGATTTGAACTCACCACCTCCGATATATGGGGTCAGCACCTTACTCCTTTGAGCCACAGGCACCACCCAATCGATATCTCTTTAAAAACCAGTAGTGAACAAAAAGTATTTAGGGTCTCTAAAATATTCACTATTACTTATTGTGCAGACGTACCGTTCAGCTGGTAGCATGAGGCAAATTCTGTTGACCTCAAGGAGGAATTTCAGGCAGATTAGAAGAATTAGTAAACCATTATTAGTCTGTATTGTAGTCCTTGTAAAATTACTATTATTAGGCTCACATCTGTCTCAAATATGTTTTTGATGCTGCTTGTATTAATGCTAATATGGGAATCATCTAAAGGAAAACAAGTTCATAAAAAGTGTAAGATATGAGCAGTGCCTGTGGCTCAGTGGGTAGGACACCGGCCCCATATACCAAGGATGGCGGGTTTGAACCCGGCCAGCTAAAACAGCAATGAGAATTGCAACAAAAAATAGCCGGGCGTTGTTCTGGGCGCCTGTAGTCCCAGCTACTCGGGAGGCTGAGGCAAGAGAATTGCTTAAACCCAAGAGTTGGAGGTTACTGTGAGCTGTGACACCATGGCTCTCTATCAAGGGCAACAAAGTGAGACTCTGTCTTAAAAAAAAAAAAAGTTTAAAATAAAAAGGCCTTGCAAGAAGACTGGTGAGGCTCAGTGCCTGTGGCTCAAGTGGCTAAGGCACCAGCCACGTCCACCTAAGGTGGCGGGTTCCAATCCAGCCTGGCCCGCCAAACAACAAAGATGGCTGCAACCAAAAAAAAAAAAGATAGCCGGGCGCTGTGGCAGGCACCCGTGGTCCCAGCTACTTGGGAGGCTGAGGCAGTAGACTTGCTTGAGCCCAGGTGTTGGAGGTTGCTGTGAGCTGTGATGTCACAGGCACTCTACACAGGAGGACAGCTTGAGGCTCTGTCTCAAAAAAAAAGAAGAAGCTTTTTTAAAGAAAAAGCTTCTTTAAAGCTAAGGTTCAGCATTTGGTCACCTGCTGGGTACAGAGCCCCATTCCAGGTACTAAAGAGAAATAAAACAAACTGATCATCTTCCTAGTCCTCAAGGAACTTGCATCTTCGTGGAGGAGACTGACATGAGTATACTTAAACACTCCAGGACCATAGGTGAAAAATGATTTCCAGCTATGCATTTCAGGTGGTGACATGTGTGATTGCCCTTTATAAGTTAAGTAGCTTTAGAAATATGTATTTATGACTATGTGAGGCTGGGGAATTCATGTGGAGGTCAGAGTGGAAGCAGGTGTGAGTGGGTCCAACAGAAGGAAACATGGCTGCCAAAGTATTTGAGTCCATCGGCAAGTTCGGCCTGGCCTTAGCCGTTGCAGGAGGCGTGGTGAACTCTGCTTTGTATAATGTGGATGCTGGACACAGAGCTGTCATCTTTGACCAAATCCGTGGAGTGCAGGACATTGTGGTAGGGGAAGGGACTCACTTCCTCATCCCATGGGTACAGAAACCAATTATCTTTGACTGCCGCTCTCGACCACGTAACGTGCCAGTCATCACTGGTAGCAAAGATTTACAGAATGTCAACATCACGCTGCGAATCCTCTTCCGGCCTGTGGCCAGCCAGCTTCCTC